CTCTCTCTCTCTCTCTCTCTCTCTCTCTCTCTCTCTCTCTCTCTCTCTCTCTCTCTCTCTCTCTATATATATATATATATATATATATATATATATATATTTCCTTTCTCTCAATTTTTTAAAATATATTTTATTAATTATTTACAATAACAATCTTTAGTGCTTAGTGAACAATGTGTTGTCTGGGTTCATATATTTAAAAATAATCAATAATAATTAATTTCTATAACTGATCAATATGTTAGTTGATAATATATTTCCTTGATCCTCTCTTCTTCCAGTAATATTCTCCTTTTGTCTACATTAAACAAATATAATTCTTAATACTTTCAATACATACCGAGTTGGGTGTAAACATTTTTCTTGTATTTGTACATATAACTATAACATTAACATACAGTATAACATCTTTTCTAATCAACTTGTTTCAATTGTATTTATAGGTCATCTTATTAAATCATTATATGTCCTGTTTTCAAAATTATTACTTAAGCTTAATTTCCCCTCAGTATTGAAGCCACTCTTATCAGTCGTAATTTTCTCAAAATTCATTATCTTTGAATATCCAAACTTTTCATTCAAATACACCATCTCAATATTTTTACATTTCATATATTATCAAAGTATTATACTACTTATATACCTTATCCCTCTTACTATAGGGCCCCTTTATGTCCAAGCTTTATCTATTCTTTTAACCATGTTCAAACAAGTATTTAATCATATAGTATACCATCTAGCAATTTTACTATAGGGCTTCTTTATACCCAAACTTTATATTTTTAACCATATTCAAACAAGTGTTTAGTCATATAATATTCCACCTGGTAAATTGAATCACATTTCTTAAATCTAATTCTAATCTTCTTTTGCCAGGTTGCTTTCCAAATCAATAGGTTTAGCTTGCCAGGTGGTATTTTGTAGATATTGTTGGGGATAAAAAAGACAAATTAAGTAGAATATTCGTTTTTGTCTCCCATGCTTTAATGATTCTCCTGACAGCTCTTTAATCCATTTTATTAAATCTTCTTTTTTGTCCTCAAGTTTGTTTTGAAGTTCCTTTGCTGTAGCAAAATTTTGCGGATTTTCTTTTGTTTGTTTTAAGTTGTAGTTCTCTTCATTTGTAACTTCAATATTTAAGTCATTTTCCTCTGATTTGTATTCTATTGTCTGATTTATTTGTTCATTCTTTATCATCATTTTTTGAGAATTGTTTAATTGTGAGTTTAGGTTAGAGATATATTCATTTATGTTATCTAAGTTGTTTTTAATCTCATCATGATTTAAGACAATTGTCATTTGAATCTGTCACAGCACTGCATATATTTTCTCCTGGAACATATTTACTTTGTCTTGAATCATTGTTCCTGCAGATCTCTGATGTTCCACGCTGGGGTCTTCAGCAGGAGGTGTTAGGGGTGGTTTTCTGTCACTTTTAGATAAATATACAACATCCATTTTGTCTCCTTCTTCTAAGTAGTTATTCACCGATACCATAGTCTCTTTAATTAGCTTTATCAAACCAGCCCATCTTAAAATCCAAACAACCAAATCTTGTGTAGTTCTTATCTTTATATATGGTTTTTGTAATCCAATATGTTTCCAATTATCAAAGCATCACTGAAAACAGTATTTTGTAACAGTTCTTCTTTCCAGGGGTCTTATGATTATCAGCCAACCAAGATTTCAGTCCAAAGTGTTTAACCACCTGAAAGCTTGCTATAGTTTTCTCTAATCCTCCAGTAGGTGTCAGTAGCTGTTCTTTTTCCAGTTTTTAAAGCAAAGACTCGTTGTTGTTGTTGTTGTTATTATATAATTTCATCAATACTTTTTCAGGTATGGAATTTTAACAGTTGTTTTAGTTTTCAAATTTATCCAGGCTGTAGTATTTTTAACCTCATTTCAATAATTTTTGGTTTCCCATAGGGTGGAGGTGTAGTCCCCTCCCTTTTCACTTTGGGAGGATTTTTGCTTCTTGGGAATCTTTTCCAGGAAATCAGATACAAAATAGGAGAGAGAATATTGAATTCCTCACCCAGTTTCAAGCACGCTGTTCACCGTTGTTCTGATTAGTGCCTTTGGACTTTGGCTGCAAGTAGTTTGGGCTGGTCACTGAGGTGTGGCCATCCTTTCTTCTGTCAGGTTAGAGGGTTTCCCCCAGATTGAGCGGGAAGACCACTGTTGTTCTGCGATCACCAGGGCACTCCACTTTCTTCGTCACCTCTCCGGGGCAACTTTAGATCCATTTAGGATACCCTGGCAGGGTGAAACTAGCCTTGGGGTGCGGAGATCCGCAATCCCTCGGCTGTGCACTATGGTGCAAAACCGGAAGTCCTTTCTCTCAATTAAAAGGCATTGTGGAGTTCCTCTCTTTCAATTCTCTACTCAACACAGAATTTACAGTTAGGGTTATATTATGGATGCAGTTATATTATCCCTGGCAAATAGCAGCCTGGCTGCATTTAAATATCTCCAGTCAAAGAGAGAGGCCAATATCTCTCAATAATTAACAGTAAAGGAACAGACAGTTAAGCAATGTGCACAGACCAGCACTTGGTAGAGCAATCATGAAGGCCTTGAAAAAGATATTCAGATGCTACAATGTGCCTATATCTATAAAGGTCAGAACCCTATGGAAGTGCAAGTTAGATTTTGAAGCAGCAGCATATGAAGAGTATTGATACTGTTGAAATTCTGTGTCAAAGACTCCTGAGAATACCCTTGACAGCTAAGAAAACAAACAAATGGATCACTGAACAAGTCAAGAGTTCTGAGGCACAAATGATCCAGCTCATACTTCAGACACATTTATGTGAAGACCCAATTCTCTGGAGCTGGGAAAATGAAAGGGGAAAAGAAGAAAACCAATAGTAGTCAATTACTGTAGCGATGGGTGCACCACTGGAAAGAACTGAAGGACCAGGGACAGATCATCATACAAAAAAAATCTATCTATGTGGCTGCTAAGAGTCGACATCAATACGATGGCACATACTACAGTATTTCACTGTTCTTCTTGTGGAGTTTCTTCTAAAGTTTTTCTGGGATGTGCTTTTCTGAAGTTCTACTAATTACTTATTTTTCTCTTTCCTTTTCTGTGAGATAACTTTTAAGCCACCATGTCTTTTTTTAGCTTTCCTTGTTCAAACTAAGTCCAGAATTTTCATTTATTTATCCTAAGATTGGGTTCTAGATCCTTTAACATTCTGCACAACGTTCTTTTGATTCACGTTCATTTGTTCATATGCTTCTTAAAAGAACTGAATACTCAATAATGCCCAATGCAGAGAAAAGTAAATATATATAATGTGAGTAAACAAGGAAAAGAACATGGACATGTATGCAAGTCTGAACGAAACATTCTGTAAAGTATATACAAAATTATTTGTAATCATGTTCAGCTTACATACATTATATACTTCTTACAATTAGGAGCTCTGCAGCAAAGCACATAGGAAGTCAAAGTGTTAAATAAAATAAAGTAATAGCAACATCAGATGCTTGAGGATTTTAGTTGTTTGTTTTTTACTTGACCAAATAAAAAGATGACTTGAACTTGCATGAAAATATATTGTGCCTTATCACCAATCATGCACAAGTAAAAGGGGCAAAGCACAGAAAGCATGGTTCAGGAGAACTTCTAAACCAGTGGTTCTCAACCTTTTTAATGCCGCGACCCCCAACTGGTCGTAAGTCGAAGACTACTCAACTGGTGCAGCACCGTTTGCAGAATGGGACTTTTGGCAGGCTCAGCAGGGCAGAGACAGTCTGGACAATTCCTATTGGCTTTTGAAAGCCAATAGAATTAGACTCTATTCAAGAAAGTCTATTCTATTGGCTTTCAAAAGCCAGTAGAATAAAAGGGAGTAGCACAGCTAAGGAAAAGGGGAAAAAAATGGCAGATTGCATTGTTTGGTGACCCCCATGAAATGGTCATTCGACCCCAAATGGGGTCCCGACCCACAGGTTGAGAACCACTATTCTAAACTATGAACTTAAATACAACTTATCCAGAACAAGGTGACACTTTAAACCAAACAAACTAAAAAAAAATTATCCTATTTTATCCAAACTCATTCTATGTATGTTTCCAAAACAATTAATTAAAAACCTAGAAGAGTATAAAAAGTAGGACAAAAGATTTTCAGAGTCATGCATTTTGTATATAACTAGACTTTTAATACATCTTGAATCTTTCAGGTTATCCATTTCTTCTTTTTGGTCTATAGTCAGCATGTTAAATTAGATTACCGTATATGCCGGCGTACAAGGCGACCCGGCGTATAAGACGACCCCCGTCTTTATCGCCGGGCCGCATTCCTAGAACGTCGTCTTATATGCCGGAAACTACCAGTATTTCTGGCGTATAAGACGACCCCTGTCTTTGGCGCTGATTTCAGCGCTCGCGGAAGTCGCCTTATACGCCGGCATTTACGGTACCATAATCACTCTCTTGAAAATAAGAGAAAAAAATTATCCTCCTAAATTTAGTTGCAGAAATTTGTATCAGAGCTTCATTTTATGGCTGTTTATATCACATATCCAAATTAATTATTATATAAGGAATCCCAGAAAATATTTAAAAAGTATATATGGTAAAAACACATTTGTATATATTGTGCTGAACAATACAAATATACTAGATATTATTAGAAAGTTTAAGACTATAATTGCATATTTATCTAACAAAACTATCAATCCACTTGTTTGAAACTAATTTATTCTTTCTAGAGTAATGAAGTAAATGAAATATGAATGAAAATCTTGCATATATGGCTGTAGCTATAAATGACTGGCAACCTGACTTGGCTACGGCTCATACTGTTAAAAATATTCAGCAAAATTGTACATCAATTTCTGTCAAAAGAACTGTACATTAATAGATAATACTATCCTCATTAAGCTAATGTTTAAATATTTAGTTCTTTATAAACACCACTTTAATTAAAACAGCAGACACTAATTCACAATGAGAAATATAATCTATTGATAACATTTACCTGTGGACATAATGTAGCTGATGTACAGAATCAATTGCTACCACCATTTCAGCTAAATAAAAGCGAGCCATTTCTTCAGGTAACCGGTCCTCAAACTTACTGAGCAAGGTAAGCAGATCTCCACCAACATAATAATCCATAACGAGGTACTAGGAATGTAGAAAACAATTTTGATAGAAACACAAATATGCATTAAATATAACAAATTGGTTAAGACCAAGAGCTGCCTTCTCAGAATCAGAAAGGTAAATCTTCTGGAAACAGGTTCTTTGTATATCCTTCATCTACAACATCTCTTTCAAAAAATTTGCCCCAATATTTTTCTTTTCTAGAGAAAGACTATATAAGAAGTACAATAATGCTAGAGCAAAACACTACAGAAGAGCTTTGCTATCAACAAAAAATATTCTGTGGCTTATTCTTCCCTTATATCTATCCGTCATCTGCTACAAAATACAAAAATTAAGCACAGCAATATCTAATTGCTTGAAAGACTGGAGTGAGATATGAAGTGTCATGCTACTCTTCAAAGTTATATAAAAAGGCAACTTTAAAAGTATGGCTAATTTACATATAGCTAATTTATAAAAAATCCACTTCCATATCAGTTCTTGGGATCATATATTACTAAGATCTGATGTATTTTGACTGTAGCATTTTTTAAAAAAAGGAGTAAGATGGGCAGATATTCGAAACTGTAATGACATTCATACATAATATTCAACAAAACCTTTTAAAAAAATAATTGGGTCACACTACTGTAGCACTTCACACGTGGCTAACTTCTTGTGCCATGAGAGCTGGCCAATTGCGGCTTTTAAATCCTGCTAGAAGTAATGTCATGTGCTTCGATAACTCATTTCTCCATTATGAAATTATGTGCAGATAATACAGAAGATACACATTTTTGTCTATACAATGGAACAATTAACAACTGCTTGTGTGGTGGCACAGCAGCATAATTGTTACTTAACTATTTTAGTTATCAATAAACAGTACATTACAAGTAAACAGGTAAATTGAAGTTAGACATTATGTTCAAAAGTTACTTTTAAATAATACTCACTAAATAATTTTCATCCTGGAAGGCATAGTGCAATGTTGTAATCCACTGATTATCCCCATTCACCAAAACATCCCTCTCTTCTCGAAAACAAGCTGTCTAAAGGATAGATAAATATAATTATTATAAACAAAATGCAGAGTCATTTAGAGTTCTTTTCATTTAAACAATAATACTGAAGATAAAGGAAATAAGATTATCATATAATAATTTTTCATTACAACTATGATAATCCAAAGCAAAGAGGGTATAAAATGTGACTAAAATAATAAAAATACTTTTAAAATCATAAAATTGCAACAACAGTTCTTGTAAAGCTACAGCTGCATATTAAAAACAAGAATGGCAGGAAGTATGAAACACAGCTACATAGTCTCAATGTCTCAAGTAAATTACTTAATGTCTCAAGTAACGGTACTACTATCAAAAACACACTGTCCTGGGTTGCCGCATAGTAAATCCTGCATAGATAGTAAATGAAGCACCCTCAGAATAGCATTCTTCCTATAACTTAATTACTATGATATAAGAGAAAAAACAATTATGAGGAGACTGCATATTCTGAATTTACCAACAGTTGGATTCATTGAATGACCTGTATTATGTATAGAATTAATATGTCACAATCAGAACTAGCAATTAAGAATCTTACCAGAATTAAGAAAATGTAAAAAATGTAAAAAAAAAATCAAAAGAAATATAACAGTTTTTTCCTAATTAAAATTAATCAATTTAGGCAGAAGTACTTTTTTTTGGTGTATCAAACATCTTTAATCATTTAATGTGATTTTCTGTCTTGATTTAAACCACTACAAGGAGCAAACATCAGTACGGTAAGTAAATGATGGTCGTCTTCCCAAACAAATTTGGCAACATCAAAAAAGAACGTGGGAATACAAAAAGCATTTAATTTTTTATCAAAAAGCTGACTTTGTCTATCATCTCTTGGACACTATGCAGATGATTATGATCCAAAAGTATGAGCCAAACAGACAAAAATAGATGCCCACTTCTGGTGTACGTAAACCTTTCTGGCAAGTGGTTCTAAAAACAGAAGTAATTTATTGGAAATTTGATCTGCATGTTGTCCTGTGATCAAACATCTGTTTCAGTGTTTATAAGATGAACAGAAGAAGAATAAACCTGTTTTACAAGATGATTAATATAGACCATTCAACAGAAATAAATTACGAAAATGAAAACTATGACAGTAACATATTGTAAAATTTCAAAGTCTTTCAAGATATATTACATTTAGAAATAATCTGGGTTTTTCTTTTAAGCTTGTCAGATTCTAATTAAAACAGAAAAAAAAGTTACAAACTTAATAGCCACTTGACCATTCCTTGAGTCTTACCTCCGCTCTTTTCAGCATTTCCCATTTATTTAATATTTTCATGGCAAATACTTTATCTGCATTTCTTAATTTCACAACAGCAACCTGCAAAAATTAAATTAATTTTTTTTAAAAAGTGGACATAAAATATTAATTTCTCAGAACGCCATTGGAGATGCATTTATAATCCTACAGTTTATTTTAGTTATAAACAAATACAGGTAGTTCTCACTTAATGGTCAGTTGCTTAGCGACCATTTGAAGTTATGACAGATATCCCCAGAGCTACTTACAACCCATTTTTGATGTTCTTATGGCCACACACCCTCACCTCAATCACATGATCACATTTTGGGTATTTGGCAACCATCTCACATTTATGACTATATGCAACATCCTGCAATCAAATGACCATGATTTTGGGTTACTTTTGCCAGTTTCCAGTGTTTACTTCTTATTTCTGGCAAAAAAGCTCATTGGGGAAAATGGACCAGTTTAACAACCTGTGTGTTAGCTTAACGACCACAGTGTTCATTTAATGACTGCTGCAAAAAGGGTCATAACCTTCCACCATGATTTATGAATGTAATTCCAGAGTGTAATTCCAGTCATACGTTAAGGACTTCCTGTATACCACCATGGTGCAATACTTGTGTTTTACCAAAACAGACAGAATATATTACAATTGTTAACATTCTTCCAACATAGTAGAGCTTAAAAGTTTGTGAACCCTCCTGACCTTTCAATATTTCTGCACAAATATGACTGAAAAATTCATTTGTTCCCCACAAAAATCCTGAAATTAGATAAAGAGAACCCAATTAAGCAAATGCCTCCATTATTGGCATGCTGTAAGTGTCCCTCAGCATTGTTAACCAGCTGCAAATGCCCAGTCCTCCATGCCAAGGCCCTCCAACCAGCCATCTAATACAGCTGCCAGCAAACTCTACAAAGGAAAAAAAATTCATTGGGGGAGAAATGCCAGCAGCAAAGAGAACACAGTACATAGAGTGGTCATAGAAACAGTAAGCACAGTCGGCACCAGGCCCACAGGCATGGCAAACATGGTTAGCATAGCCAGGGTAACAAGCATGGCCCATCATCTGGCCCATTACTTCAGCCCGAGCAGGTTCAAATCTAGGCCCAAGCCAAACCACATCCGACCTTAATCCAGGTAACTGCCAATTGAAACTTGCTGTACAGCTATACAATTCAAGAGGACAATCCGTCTGTGGCTTCTGCTGTCTCCATTAAACGTAAATCTTTTGAAAAGGCCCTTAATTCCTTTGCCCATCTGGATTTCTGTATACAAAATTACACGTGTGGAAGCAAAAGACACATGTGACACTGGTATGTAGGGAGATTTTCAGTGAAAGCATTGCCACAGGCATAGTTGTCCTTTCAATAATTGCCTTTCAATAAATATAATGTAAAGTCTTAAAATGAATGTCAGGATAAAAAAAGACATGGGGAACTTTTATTCTAAGTACAATATTGAAAATTCTTCTTGTTATAATAACACTCAATTAAGACTCATACTTTCTACATTCTTAAAAATTCTTTATACTGAAACACATTCCGAAGATTACAAACCTAGATATTTCAAAGAAGTATTTACTATATTAGCTTCTAGTCCAAGCTTGAGCTCAAATAACAAGTTCATACTTTGTAAAGCAAGCTTTAATGATAAATTGTCTTTTAATGCTTTATAATACTCTGACCTGTCAAAGACATATAAAACAAAATATAGACACAGACGTCACTTTGCAAAGTGAGCTTATTTTATTTTTATTCAATGTAAAAAAGAGAAAAAGGTGGGAAGCCTCAAAAGTACACATTTCTCATAAGCAAAACTTTTTATTATAATGTATTCATGTAAATAGTTTTTATTATAATGTATTCATGTAAATAATTAACATTTAACTAAGGTTTCATAACAATAGGAAATTAAAGTATATTTATAACTAATATGTTTAGTTATTTAAATATTTTGTTCTATGAAAGCAGTCATTTTATTTATTTTTCTAGAAATATGCATACACAAAACAAAATATTTAAACTTAAAAAAGCCTTTTAAAAAATTAGAAAAGACAATCTCGAACAAGCTTTAAAAAAAGGAGGGGGGAAAGAGAGTCTAGTTATGCAGAGGGTCATTATATCCCAGGAACTTTGTTTATGAGCATTTGCACTTTAATCAAATTTCTGATAAGACACCCAAACACAGGAATAACAGTATCATTATTTAGTCATTTCCTTTTTCTTATTTACTAAGCTTCAATCTCTAAATCAACATGGTATTATAATTTTAAAACAAATACATGCAAAAATCAACAGGAGACAAGTAATTATAATCAGGATTAGAAAAATAAAGCTGGAAATACAGTGATTCTAGCTTTACAATAAACAGAGAAAATATTATCAAAACCTTCAGCTGCTGAAAGAATTATGGATAATATAAATCAGTTGCACACATCCTCACATCTCCCCTCCAAAGGATAATTAAGGCCATGTACTGAGTACAGTTCAAAGTTTCTAATATATAGTCATATATACCAGCTGATAAAACTTGATTGAAATTTTATCTTGATTCAATCCTACCAAATAAACTGTAATTTTTTTTCAAGCTTTCTTGTGTTAATTAATGCAGCTCCAGTAATATAATTATATAAGTACAACTGGGAAATTTCCTTGCCTTCATCCAAGAAGGGCCAATATTATTTGATGCAAGAATTTGCCGTCCCTTCTATTTCCTCCTAAAAAGATATGTCTAAAAACTATACTTAGGTTCCAAAATGATTGACATTGATGCCTTATTTTCTTGTACATCTAATTTAGTGCATTCTAACAACTGTTTATCTAATATTCTAATATTTCAGGGAGTTTTAAGCACCTTGGGCTGCCAGTTCATACAGTATCTATACACCAATTTTAACTATTTCTGCACTTCAGGACAAGTGACATTCTTGATATAGGTCAACAAATAATAAACATAATCATAAACATTTAATGTTATTATTTGATCTATAAGCTGCTCCAGCTGAACCTGTGGAATGTCCAATTCAGGAGACATAAAATCAAGAATCACCTGAGGCTGATGAGCATGATTAATGATGCAGCTGCCAAAAAAGTCAACACAGTCCTGATTTAAGAAACAACACTGATCCATGGTCTTTTGTTCCTGACTGATCTCTGGCTCTTGTGTGATAATTATGTGGATACTGCTTATAGAATTCTCACATCTGGATTGGCTGACATCCCTGACCTGGCTCCTGGAACCTTGGACTGAATTTTTACTATTCTTCTGTGTGCTCCTGTTAAAAGCAAAACTAATTAATAATAATAATAATAATAATAATAATAATAATAATAATAATAATAATAAAGTTGGAAGGGACCTTGGAGGTCATCTAGTCCAACCCCCTGCTCAGGCAGGAAACCCTATACCATTTCAGACAAATGGCTGTCCAGTCTCTTCTTAAAAACTTCCAGTGTTGGAGCATTCACTGCTTCTGGAGGCAGGTTGTTCCACTGATTGTTCTCACTGTCAGGAAGTTTCTCCTTAGTTCTAGGTTGCTTCTCTCCTTGATTAGTTTCCACCGTTGCTTCTTGTCCTGCCTTCAGGTGCTTGGGAAAATAGCTTGATTCCCTCTTCTTTATGGCAGCCCTGAGATATTGGAATACTGCTATCATGTCCCCCCTTGTCCTTCTCTTCGTTAAACTAGACATACCCAATTCTAGCAACCATTCCTTATATGTTTTAGCCTCCAGTCCCCTAATCATCTTTGTTGCTCTTCTCTGTACTCTTTCTAGAGTCTCAACATCTTTTTTACATCGTGGTGACCAAAACTGGATGCAGTATTCCAAGTGTGGCCTTACCAAGGCATTGTAGAGTGGTATTAATACTTCACGTGATCTTGATTCTATCCCTCTGTTAATGCAGCCTAGCACTGTGTTGGCCTTTTTGGCAGCTGCAGCACACTGCTGGCTCATATTTAGGTGATTGTCTACTAGGACTCCGAGGTCCCTCTCACAGTTACTACTATTGAGCATGGTGCCACCTATGCTGTACTTGTGCATTTGGTTTTTCTTGCCTAAATGTAGAACCTTGCTTAGGCAAAGCTTCTTTCAGAGACTCTGTTTGGTTTGCGTTCCTTGCCCAATGCTTTTTCCTTGAGCTTGAAAAAAACTGGTAAATGCCATAACTGTTTGTATAAGTGTGTATTTGTAACCAAAAATAGGAAAGTGGGGGCCTGGATGAGGAGCAACAGACTTCAACTGAACCATGGCAAGACTGAACAGCTCTGGATTCTGGGGTCGTCCATTTGACATCTTTTACTCTGGCTGGAGTTGCACTACCCCAAATAGACCTGGTGCACAATCTGGGGATTCTCCTGGATTTGTGATTCCTGCTCAAAGAACAGATGGCAGTTGTGACTAGGTGTTCTTTCCACAGTTTCATACTGTAGTCAGTTGTACCCATTTCTAGATCAGGAGGTTCTATTTATCATCACTCATCCCTAGTCACCTCCTGATTGTTCTACTGTCACCTCTCAAATGGACAATTGCAATATGCTCTACAAGGGACAGCCCTTTGAAGAACATTTGGAAGAACACTTTTCTGACATGGCATCTGACCTGTGGAACATTATTTTCTGTTAAGGCCCCATCCTTGACATCCTTCCAGAATTCCCTCAAAACATGCTTATGTCAACAGGTTTGGGAATCTCAGGGAAGTGGTGAATTAGTGAGATGGTCATATTGATGTATCTTCTTTGTTTTCTTTTTCTTTATTTTATTGTTGTATTATTTTTATTTTATTATTCTATTTCTTTACTTACATTTTGTTTAAACTTCCTTTTTATTTCTTCATATTTTATTATTGTAAGCTCCCTGGAGTAACTCTATAGCAGTGTTTCTCAACCTTGACGATTTTAAGGCATGTGGACTTCAACTCCCAATGCTGGCTGTGGAATTCTGGGAGTTGAAGTCCACATGCCTTAAAATTGTCAAGGTTGAGAAACACTGCGATATAGCAAGATAGGCAGCAAATAAATTTAATAATAACTATATCCTGTGATAATACTTCCAAACATCATTAAACATCAACATCTGCTTATCCCTGATTCTTGGGAAAGACTCAATACGTGGATAAAAATACCAAATCCAATCTGAATATCTGGCTAACTGTGAGGAACCATAACGGATGCATTGCCATAAGAATAATTCTTACTACTCTGTCATTAATAGTTCTATCTATCTATCTATCTATCTATCTATCTATCTATCTATCTATCTATCTATCTATCTATCTATCTATCTATCTATCTATCCATCCATCCATCCATCCAGTGCTTTTTTTTTGAAAAAAAAAAAAAGTGCCGGAACTCACACATGTCATACAACCCGCCTTGCCTACCCTACAAGGTTCCATCCCCAAAAGGTGCCGGAACTCCGTTCTGGCGTTCTATGACAAAAAAAGCCATCTATCTATCCATCCATCCATCCATCCATCCATCCATCCATCCATCCATCCATCCATCTCAGACAAATGAAGCAAAACCTGCAATTCATTAATAAAAGAAAGGAAAAAAATCATTTTTACAAGGGTCTAAAATGTTTGGGTACTGTGATTCCCCTTAAATAATGAATTTGTGTGAATGATAATAAAAATAAAAACAATTGATAAAATAACAGAAGTTTCCTCAGTCATGTGTGGCTGAACTGGGAAATTCTGTGTTCAAGTCATCAAGACTTCAAAGGGAAACCGGAGCCTGCCACTTGTTCAAGGCTTTGCTTTATTGTTAATTCCAAGACCAACTGTTTTTGATTCTTACAGTAGCAGCGTATGAATGAAGGCATCCTTGTATTATTGAATGGGAAGCAGATAATGATCTCTTTATTTACTGGCATTTATAAATTGTTCAAATCTTGAGGATACTAGATGGTAGACAACAACATAGGAAAGTATATAATCAACATAAAAAGAATAGAATCTCTCAACAATATTGTAAAATAACCAAGGTAATTAAAATAACCAAGATGATTAAAATGACTAAAGGCATCTACAATTGCTTTTTGAAATTCCTTTTCTTCTCCCCACTGGTACTATCCATGCTTCTTCTATTGGTTAAATTATTGGCATAACATTGTGAATCAACACAACTCAGTCTTGATATGATGTGCACTTTCACACTGAACATGATAAATATTATATTACAGAGATGCAATAAACTGCAAAAAATAAAAATCATTTCTACACCTCAAACTCATAAAATCATAGCTTGTATCATCAAATTCACCACTGAAAGGTAAGAATGCCTCTTAACAGTAAGAATTATAACTGGAGAACAGGAAATCTTAACTTATATAGACATGATTAATTTAAAATTAAAATAATTAAACTCCGTAGCCCTGATGCTGGTATTTGTTCCTATACATAATTAGGAACTAATAGTCAGGCTATTGACGTAAGTACAACTTTGAAGCATTAATTCAAACATTTATCAAGTTCCCTATGAAGGCAAAAGTCATGACCAGAATGAACCAGTTTTTTTCAACAATATTGCTCAAGAAATTTCATCCATAAGTGTGCATACTTCAATCAATATATAGGCACATAGAATAAAGCTGACTATCATGCTTGCAATCCCCCTCTTCCCCCCAAATGTACAGAAACCTTAAGTCTTGTAAGAATTCTTACTAGCTTAAATACCTACTGTTAATTCTTAGTAGCTACTAATCTTATTAGCTTAAAGCTTTGATCTAGAACTAGTAATCAATTAATCCAAACCTCTCTTTGGGTCTTTTTCCACAATTTTAACATATACTATTAAATATTGCAAGAAAAAAGCCAAATATTTTTAGTCTCCATTATTAACTGACAGATTAAACTGATCTCAGCCATATAATTTTGGACTTCTTAAGTCCAAATAGTAGTTTATATTCTATAGAGTGGTCTCTATAGAATATAAAATGCTGTAATAACAAGAAGCTGAAAGAAACATAATTCTCATGACTCCTATGTTCACAGGAGAGGAATAAAAGTGGGGCAGTGGATCATGATAGTGGATAAATCCTACAAATAAGATATAAAATGCTCCTATCTGGAACAGTTCAGATGTAATGCATATTAACACAAGGTATTTCAAAATGGGTTAGTTCAAACTCTGTTTTCTCTCAACTGGAAATTTATCAATACCACTATTAAATACACACACACACACACACACACACACACACACACACACACACACATGCACATGATAGCTGAAACAGCAAGTAGACTAGAAATGTAAAGTGATAACTACATAGTTTCCCTGGCCTCTCAAAAAAGTCTGCCACTGTGATTTATTAAAACTGAATATTTAATGTTTTTAGAAGTGTGTTTTCCTCCATGAATAGCCTGCTAAAAATCTGTGGTATGTGCTGATATAAACATTTTGGTTTTAGTTTGAAGGAAAGGGAAAAGGCAAAATTCTTCTTCCATATTTCCCACAAATAGTTATTGCCATCTGGCTTGCTGTCAAACGATTTCTTCCTCTTTACTAAGTTAGGTCTCTTGTGTATTTATACATCAACATACTTGCCTTTCCTTCTTCAAATATTTTAATGGATGAAGATATCTGAGGGGGAAAGAAATCTAACGAATTCCTATTGCTACTTGTGTAGGAAGTTTTTAAATAACAAAATATAGAAAGTAACCAGGGTATTAGCTGTTTTGCATTGATTTGGCACAAACAGTGGCAGATATGCATTGTCTATACAGACTAGCACAAACGGTCCTTGCCTTGCCTAAAGTGATGAAAAACTGGACAGCTGCATGCAGTTTGTATTCTAAATTAAGAAAAGGCTCCCTTCCTGCACAGTAGACTATTTTCTCTGTAAACTATAGTCATACATTCAGAATGAAGGTTATATGAATAACCTTTAAAAATCAGAAATATTCCCTCACTAACTGTTTATACAGTCTTTTTATATCTCCACAGAAAACTTTATTTGACCCTGGAATTAGCTTGAAAGCAATAACTTAAGGTTTTTCAGTTGAAGTTCATGCTGTTGTTAGATTATAGATTATTTTGGCGGAGGCCCATAATTATACAGGGAGTGTAGCAAAGTCTTACTAAAAGTTTTTGTAGTTCCTTAGAATTCTTCAAATGACTTTTTGGAAACAATCTAGAAGTTAACATCAATGTTTTTTATTTAAAAAAATAGTAGGGACAACTATATTGTTAATTGAATTTTTGCCAAATCTGAGTGCATAGTTTCAGAAATCAAGACTTGCATCACGAGGCAAATAAACAGAATGCTGATCTTAAAAACATAGATTTTATGTGGCAACTAAGAAGTCAAGTACATGTTCTCAGAAGGAAAGCTAGGTCTACCAGCTGCTATCAGCATATTTTATCAAAGTAAATTTTGTTAGATTATAACCTGCCTTTTCCCCCAGAGCAATAGGTAATCAGAAAAAATAGACCTATGAGTTATTCTGAGGTGAGAAATAATAACTGAATATATGTCATCCAGTTAGCTTCAGTGGGTGCGTATGACTAAGATTAGGTCTCCCTAAACTTAATCCAGCAATTAAACTACTACATATTAGCTCTCTAAATTGCTTAAATAATTATTGATATATATGGAGAAATAAAACAATCATCTAATATGCTTTGCAAACCACTGTTTTACAGTGAAAGAAAATTTTCAAATAATGTACATTCCTTGCAGCAAAGGAGTCTTTTCTACCTTTAGGAAGCAGAATGTTATTTCTGAGTTAAAATTACTAGCATTTCATAAAAAGCTAAGGATACTATTCCAAGCAATATAGATATTGTACAGACAGTAAGAAATTAGTGATAACCTTGCCCTGATCCAGATTGACCAGGCCTGGAAATTGACTCTACAGATAGGCTAAAAAAACTATTTTTATTGAGATTAGCTGTAACAGAATTTTGCAAGCCAGATCTCCTCATTCTTCTTAGGCTTCAGTGACTCAGGGATGCATATATCTCAGCTGTTTCTTAAAGTTATCTCATTATTCTGGACTTTAAAAAAGTGTTTCAGCCCCTTTGGTTTAGGTAATGGTTTCTGTATATCTCCATCAAGATCATCTTCCTTACTCTCTACATAATGTCACTCAATCTATGACTGCATCTCAAATAACAGATATCTTGTAACATCAAAGAAGCCATTTACAATAACTCTGACCAATGTAATACTACAGCAGACATCAAGGAGCCAAAGTGGTGCTAATATCAGAATCCAGAAGATATCACCCTATGAGGCAAGGAGCATATGCTCTTTCACTGACTGATGCAAAATTGACAATGGTTAGCTTTGGAAGGAAGATGCGGACTGAATGTAGAAATTCTCTATGTTCTTACATAAGATCTCTAAGGGAAAAGCGGAGGCAGGTGAATGGGGAGCTCACCTATTATGGCCAAGAGAGAACTCTGGATATTAAGGAAGTAATTTTCAGCTCATTCTTGCAGTCCTTTGGTCACAAAACATTATCCATAACCAATACCTTGTGTTCATCACTAACAGTAACTTTTTTGACAGATACTTGAGAGATTGTAATGCCTTTTTACTTCCATTATAAAATCACAACTTACTAAACAAGTACAAAGTCAAAAACTTTGTAAGGTGGAACTTTCTGAATAATGCAATCTCATAACATGTGATCTTCTCAATCCTATAATGTATAGTTGATTACCATCACATATGATTTTGACCTATATGTCCCTTAAAAATTAACAAAAATAAAAGTCAAATGGCAATGTTATAATGCAAACGATTTATAAACTATAGCATGAAAGGGCAAATGTATCATTAAATCTAATGACACACTACATAGAGTGTGCATTTATCAGAAATCTCAGACATGTCTTTTGCAATTTAATTTAATATACTACAGTAGTAGTATATTTTTACAATAGATGGTACAAAAATATACAATTTCCAAATCTTACCTCCCCAAAGGCACCTCGGCCAATCACTTTCAATATTTCAAAGTCATCTTTATGCAATCGCATCTGCTTCACCTTAGATGTGAAAGGCTTGGCTGAAAAACAGAAAAATATCGATCACTTTATGTAATATAACTACTTATAAAAAGTCTATACAATTTCAGAAATTATTGCTATAACAAACTAAGATAATCTACTATCTGCTGACCATAAATGGATTTGTTGACATGGTCATGATAGAACAGGGGTCCCCAACCCCTGGTCCACGAACCGGCACTGGGCTGCACAAACAAGTGAAGCCCCATCCGCTAGATGCAGGCAGCACACAAAACCACACCCTCTCTGGTCCACGGAAAAATCTGGTGCCCAAAAGGAGGCCTCTGTGATAGAACATTCCAAATGTATGCTTTTTTTTTACTTGTAACATTTTTTTTACTAATGTTTGCAAGAAAAGTCTTAACATTTTATAGACCTAGAAGATTTGTTTCAGCAATTTCACACAGCGGGCGTCCTAATAATCACTTGGCTAAAAATTGTACAATTTTTGTAAATAGCAAAAAGGGACTGTGTTAAAATATTTCCCTTTTAGCACTGCTAGCCTGAAAAATGAAAGCCTTCCACAGTTCTATTTTTAAGTTAAAAACAAAATAAAATTTGGATACAATATTCTAGGTTTAGATATAATGCCAAAAATAAGGGAATGGTTCCCAAGATATCACATAGCACAAATTTGTTGGGAACTGCAACACAAATTGCTTTAATAGCAAATTTTCCTTTCTAATCCATCTTATCTGTCATTTTAGAAATGTCATACAACTAGAAAATTTAAAAAAAAATACAAAAATTCACCCTCTTAAAGCGTAAAGACTAATGAATATTGCCTTTAGATTCTTTTCAAGAGTTAAAAAAGGAATTGTTAAAAAGCTTTATTCCTGCTGATTACACAGACATAACCATTCAATCAGAGAGCCAATTTGGTCTAGTGGTTAAGGAATCAGGTTAGAAACTAGGATACTGTGTCTTCTAGTCTCTCCTGAAACATGAAAACTAGCTGATTGATTTTGGGTCAAGTCATTTTCTCTCAGACCAATTCACTTCACAGGGTTGTTGTTGTGAGGAAAATAGGAGGAGGAAAGGATAATAGTAACAGACTTCTCACTTCATTGCACTCGCATGTTTTAACTTTATCTTTTATTGATTTTATTGCAATTTCATTGCTCCCATCATTCTGTACTGCCCAGAATCATTGAGAGCTGGTTCTCAATTGTTGCTCTGGCTTTGTGGAACACTCTCTCTTAGAATATAGACACGGTCTATTCCTTCTAACATTGCAGAAGCTACAGAACATGGAATTTTCCAAATAATAAATTTTCTTACTACCTTTAATTTAGTTGACTTTGAATTAATTGATTTATTTATGGAAAATGTTTTGAATTCTTTTATGATTTAGCTATTCCTTGTTTATGCTTGTGCTGTAATTTTCATTAATTTTAGTTGCTTTAATTTATGTTTATTGTGGACATTTTTAACTATTATGAATGTTTTTTTTTTCAATTCTGTAAATTGGCATGAGTTTATATTGATTTGGCAACAAGTAGAATAAATAAATGTAGGAAAACAGATTGCATGTCTGTTTTTTGTATTCTGAATAAGGGAGCATGAACACAATTCTTATCCACAAATCCTTAAGCAAAGTCATAATTGCCTTAGAGCATACAGAAATTAGGAAGAGCAGTCATGCACTACCAGGAAAGGAGGTTAAGGGATTGCACAGAGTTGCAGACAATTCATGCCCCTCTCCTACTTCTAAGCATTTTCCCCTCCAACTACAAAGGTCCTACTGAATAAAGGCCGTGGGGGGTGCGTGGCCATTTACGCATGCGCACAGCCCCAGAGCATGCAGCATGCGTGAACGGGGCTACTAGCGCACCAATTTTGAAGCTGCTCTCCTTCCCTCCGGTCCATGAGCCCGGAAAGGTTGGAGACCTCTGCTCTAAAGGTCAATAAGAGCTGAGGTGGCGCAGCAGTTAGAGTGCAGTACTGCAGGCCACTTTAGCTGACTGTGTTCAGCAGGTCAGCGGTTCAAATCTCACCGGCTCAAGGTTGACTCAGCCTTCCATCCTTCCAGGGTAGGTAAAATGAGGACCCAGATTGTTGGGGGCAATGTAAATATATATATATACATTGCTTACTGGTGTACACTGCTTTGAGAGTGCTTGCACTTAAAGCGGTATATAAGTCTCATAAATAAATAAATAAATAAATAAATAAATAAATAAATAAATAAATAAATGGTGAGGAATAGGCTTCTCTTGCAGAAAATCTCAGGATCAATCTCTGGCATCTGAAGTTATGATCTGTTAACAGGTTCCTGGACAACCTAAGAAAGCTGCAGTTAATCATAGTGGACAACACTAAAAGAAAAAATATACTATGTTGATGTGTTCCAGTATCAAGCTGCCTGTAGTACGGCTTAACTGCTTTACAAGTGGCTACTATTTATGAGTATCACTATGTATGTTTTCTGATAAACTCTTCACTTTTACATTATACTTTCTTTTATTCCGTTTATTAGTATAAATATATAAAAATAGATCTGAAGTTAAATATATATATACGTTGAAGCTGAGAATACTTGCTGCATCTGAAAAAAATGGGCGGAATCTTTAAAAGCATATTTATACATTTTTTATGTGCCCTAACAAAAGTTGTTGATTTTCCAAAACTGAACAGTGTGTTTAATTGGAATTTTTTGTAACTTATCCCCAAATGTCCTTATTGTCAGTCAAAAGGTTTACCTGTTACTGTGAATATTGGCATGGAGAAATGATTTCTGTTAGATAGCTGAATTAATCGTGAATCCCATAAATAACAGAGATTAAGATCTTTAATGTACAAAGGACAGCAAAAGTCAATTTATAATAAAAGTAGCCAATAAAAGTGGCTGTAAGCACTTGGGGCAATATTTGTAACAATGATATACAATAAGATTTATAGAAATACCATCACAGAGGAAACCAGTAAAATATTGCTGCAGAAAAATGTGGTACAAAAGAACTACTTTTCTGCAAACCTTTCCTTTCTAATGCTTCTGTGCATAAAAAAAATGAAAGGGGAAACAAAAGTAATGTAAAACAATACATTCTCTAATACAGGGCTTTTCAACCTTTTCACCATTGTACCACTTTTAGGATATGGCAATATCCGAGTACCACCAGTCGCCTAACAAAGTGTCAAAAACTTGATGATCCCTCCCCCAAAAAGGAAAAAAGTGATAAAGTACAGGTAATCCTCGACTTACAACAGTTCACTTAATGACTGTTCGAAGTTACAATGGCACTGAAAAAAGTGTCCCCCAAGCCACAGCCAAGCAAGACACCTGCCTGTCCACCCACTGGCGCTCTTCCTCCTGTTCGAGGTTTTCATTGTTGTGAGCATTTCTGTTGGGGACTGGCAGTGGAGGTGGGGTGGAGGGGTGTTTAGTTTTTATTCCCCCTGTCTGCTGGGTGGTTGCAGCAGATTTTGGTCAGTTCACATGACCCTGGGACACTGTGACCGTCATAAATATGAATCAATTGCCAAGCATCTGAATGTAAAACACAAGACCCTGGAGATGCTGCAACATTCCAGTTGCTTGGCGCTTCTTCTGGGCTAGCAGAAGCGCCAGGATCAGGGCCAAGCTCCAGCTGGAGCCTGGAGCTGATCCTGGTGCTTCCACTGAGCCCTTACAGCTCTGCAGCTCCAACCATCTCTCGCTTAGGCTTGTGTGGTGCTGCCACCGGTTCAGCTCATTCCCCCCCCCCACTACCACTTTTCTAGGATGGTCACGTACCACCTGCCAGGTGCCAATGTACCACAGGTGGTACCCATACCACTGGTTGAAAAGCCCTGCTCTAATATTCATTACTTTAAACAAGAGAGAGAAAGCATGAGTGTGTAAAAGTAATTTAATTTGTACACAAAGCTGTCAACAGAAGAGAAAAACAAAGCCTGGAATGAGGAAGAGGGAAGCAAGCCTTCACATATTCCAAAGGCACTTTAAAACTGGCTGCCAAAATTCTATCCAGCAAATGAGAAAAAAATGGCTTGCAGCAATGGAAGATGGATAAAAGAATGATATTTAAACCAACACTAAATAAATAAATAAATAAAATAACAATGTCTTTCTCAGTTTTATAGCTACTATTAAGTTTTCACTCTATAGATACATTCTTCACATATTTTTTCAGTCAAACAGAAAGTGACAGCATCTGTATCTGAGTCTCAAAAAGATCTGGTATTTCCTGAAAATACAAAGAGTAAACACAGATTCCTGTTTTACAATGGTATAGATATGAAAACTATATTCATAATTGCATATAAAAAAGTACATTTCTAGCTAGGAGAAATGTGGAAATCACCTTATTTCTAAATTTTAAAAAGGAATTCAAGATTTGCATTTAGCATCACGAAAGCCCCAAGGCTATATTCAAAGCTTATAAAGCACTAAAAAGGAGACCAGAATAAAAACTTATATAAAATAATAAAATTAAACTTTAACTTATTGCTAAACAGTGTCTTCAACCAACCTACAATGCAGATTAACTTTAGAGCAGGGATGTCAAACTCGCCATGTCATGTGACGTATTGCGACTTTTTCCCCATTCCCAGAGCTGGGGTAGGTGAATTTCGGCATGAAGCATCTGGCCCATGGGCCGACGCTTTGACCCCCTGCTTTAGAGAGTAAATTTTCTAAATCCGGGGTCACATGGACCATACAGTGTTCTTTATAACTTAATGGAAGGGGCGTTGTCTTACCTGAACGCCTTTTCTCAGCACGGAGATGAAGAATCCACCAATGGGTTTAGACTGTATTCCTGCCCAATCAGATCAAGTCAGCCAAAGTTGCCACGCCCGTCCTGAACCATAGAGATCCCAGTCTTGATGCGAGCGAAGCCATTGACTGACAGCAAGATGTTGTGGCTCACAAACTAACTGACCCTAGGCCTAGATGACCTATGAGGGTGGGTGTGGATTCTCCATTTCCGTGCTGAGAAAAGGCGTTCAGGTAAGACAACGCCCCTTCTCCAGCACTGGAGATGGAGAAGCCACCAAT